CATTTCATTGAAAAGGGCTATATGTGGGCTCCGTGAAGTCAAGTTTGTGGAATGCCTTTTTCCTCTACGCAGGTCAGGGCTCTCTGCATTGACAGCATCAAACAGCTCGTCGAATTTTGAAAAAAAACTTGCAGTTGCATGTGCTTCATTTGGAAGTTCATCTGCAAAGAAATTGCTTTTTAAGAAACATAATAATCACTATGTACACATATATATTACAGTTATTAATAAAAAAAAACATAATACGTGTTTCATAATTATGAATATTACACAATAATTACAGAAAGTCATAGCTTTTATAACTTTTTAATATTTGTTTCTAATGAAACAATACATTTAAAAAGAAATACCCAAAATGGTTCAGCCATTCACAAGTGATGTACTTACCAAGAACAAAATTTTTATTTTTATAAATTGGTTAACTCACTTTCTGCTATTTTTGCAAATAATAAACCAGCTGCAACGGAGTGGCTAAACACTTGTGCTGCAAACTTCACTCTCATCTGTTGCTTGATGTTAGGATCAATGTGTTGGTCTGTTAGTGCAGGCGCATAAGCGAAGTTTGGGTTGTTTTTGTCCAGATTATAAAAAAATTCAATGTGACTCCATTTCACTATGCCTAAAACAAACAAAAAGAGATTTAAATGACACATGATCTACTAATAATAAAGATCGATTCAGTGTAGATAAATACACAATGTCTATGAGTAATCACTTTTTTTTATACAAAGAGTCGGCAAAGCTCCTTAAAAAAATACAGTCCTGTTTTGGTAATTTTATATACTAGTCATAAAATATGCCCTTTATGGGCATTAAATAAGTTTTTATTACCTTTGATAATCTGATTCACTGCACTGAAAATCAGTTGTGCACTCAACATCATGTTTCATTAACAGATTTCTAGTACATTTCAGCAAATGTGGATGATCCAAAATACACTGGGTTTCATTCCCAGCTTGAGCAAAAATATGTCATATTCAACACAACTTGGGTTTGTGATCACCAACACCAACCCACATTTGGCAAGGGTGGTTATTATGCCAGATACCCATTATTGCAACAGTGACTTGAATGTTGATAGTTGGTTGGTTTGATACTTCTATTTTTAATTTCTTTGGTTAGGTCAAGTTTAAATAATTCATAAAAAAAATTTTATTATACCTGATCAAAATTAATTTCTCTAGCCCTTAATAGTTCTTCTACTTCAGAAGATTCAGGAACAGCAAATTTGTTCAGTTTTTGCCTTTCACTGTCATAGAACTGAGAGGACTGAAAGTGTCTTCCACATAATACCTTGTTTTGAATATGTAGTGTTTTCAAAGTATCTAAAGAGTGAGAATCTAGTGAGAGAGAATCTAAAGCCCAAGCACGAGCCCTGAAAAAAAAACAAAGATAAATCAGACGAAAAAAAAGAATGTATGGGTGGATTGTTACAAGTTTTTAAAACAAGAAAGGGAGAGTAGATCGTCTATTACTAACTGACAAACCAACTAGGTGTGCAAAGATACATAGAAATATGCCAATATAGCATAACAATAATTAAATTCTGATTAGTTTAAACAAGTCTAATCTAGCTGAGAAGTCTATATTTTCCTTCCACCAATATAATGCTGCTCTGCCCAAGCCACCCCAACTATTTCATGTATTAGATCACAGCCTTGGCATGCTGGTTCAGTCGCTCTAATTGAAACAACGATATTGATGCTGACTAAGGCTCGCCCTAAGTCACCATCCACTGTTACTTATTTGTGGAATTTTGAATTTTCTCAAATGAAAATAATTGACTCCCGATTCCGGTTCAATCAATAATCAATCTCTGCTATGTTCCCTTAAAGCGACGCTCTGATCGAGTACTTGTTTTTAACAATAAGAAGACCTCTAATTTGATCCCAGGTAGAACACTCAATAGAAAGCCTCCTATGTGTTTAGGGCAATCCAATATTTATAATATTGGTGTACATTATAACCTTCTACACGCTAGATACGTACTACAATCCTTAGAAACCCGCTAATTAACAAAATAAAATTCATTCTGCTGAATACTCACTTTGTAATATTTTCATAATTATTTAAAATTCCTGGTTTTGGGAACCTGTGGTAGGTCACCGACATATCGTCAGCGCGTGTTTTACCACACTTGGCACATTTTCTGTAGTTGTTTTTGTTGTTTAACTTGTTCATATTGTCCTATCGTGAACTATTAACTAAAAACGTCCTTTCGTACACAAAATCACTCAAATTATGTGGTTGATGATATTGCCCAATACGATTAAATGTGGAGACTGGATCACAGACCTCTCGGCTAGAGAGTACTATATTCCTTGTCACAGACCGACTAGGGAACAAAACTGGATCATCTCAACTCTCTTTCTTCCGTAATCCTGTGCTCAACACAAATATCTGTAACTCGCGGCTAGAGAGTACTATGATTGAAGTGCTGGTGTTTGTACTACAGTGCGGCTACGATGCCTATTCAAGTACAGGAGACCAAAATACCTTAATCTATCCAACTGCAAGAGGCAAGTGTGATGTTATGTCCCGGAAACTTCACCGCTGCTTGGGGGAGACGTTTTCAAGCTACTGGAGTGAAAATGATACAAGTCAACATCAATCACCTTCATTTAGTTTACGATATAATCTTTGTGGCATTCCTTGGAGGAGGCCTATGTTCAGCAGCGAACCTGTAGAGCTGTAATGATGATGATATACGATACGATATAATAAGTGTTGGCGACATCGAGTGACGGCTTGATGAAGAATGCACGGAGTCGATAGATAACAGTGGTTCAGACCAGTGATGGGCTGTTTTTTTTAATTTTAAGCCAGTGTTTGAACACATTCCAACCCTGGTGACAAGTGGTGATGTACCTTTGAACTGATATAGCTGCAGCGTGGTCTACCCCGTATAAAAGCTTTTTTTAGCCTTAGATGGTGAATCGCACTGTTTTAGCGTCATCATCATCATTACAGCCCTTCACAAGTCCACTGCTGAACATAGGCCTCCCCCAAGTAATGCCACAAAGCACGGTCCTGAGCCACCTGCATCCATCGACTTCCTGCATGTCTTACCAGGTCGTCACTCCATCTAGTGGGGGGTCGCCCTACACTACGCCTACCGGTACGAGGCTGCCACTCGAGAACCTTTCTTCCCCATCGGTTATCGGTTCTTCGAGCTATATGGCCGGCCCATTGCCACTTCAGCTTACTAATCCGTTGGGCTATGTCGATCACTCTGGTTTTACTGCGGATATCCTCATTTCTGAGTCTATCACGCAGAGAAACTCCAAGCATAGCCCTCTCCATAGCTCGCTGAGCGACCTTAAGCGTCCTCATTCGGCCAGCAGTGAAGGACCACGTCTCAGATCCGTAAGTCATCACTGGCAACACGCACTGGTTGTACAATCTAGTTTTTAGAGATTGAGGTATACCTGACGAAAAGATATGTCGTAATTTCCCGAACGCTGCCCAGCCGAGTTGAATCCGTCGATTGACCTCTCGGTCGAAGTTGGACTTACCTAGTCGGACTATTTGTCCCAGGTAAACGTACTCGTCAACAACTTCGAGCATAGTGCTCCCAACAACTTGTTTTAGCGTAACAAAATCTTATTTACTCTTGCCTTGAAGACGCCCAGATTTTATATATGATGATAATAATACAGTCCTCTAAAACAAATTTCTGACACGGCGGCTAGTTTCAAGGTAGGCCAGCCATCAGCGCATGACAGCAATATAATACCCCAGTGAATATACTATTCGCAAGCACAGACGCACTCTCTTCCCTCACTTTCATAATCCGATTGGACGAAAATTAAATAGGGGTAAAATAAAACAAATTTCTTTTTTTAAATCTTTAATGTCTTATTACATTGCTTATAACTCGTGAAAAATACATTCAGACAACCAAAAAGAACTCAAATTTATGTTAATTAACATATAATTTGCACACATTTGGTAACATACGACCCGAGATACAATTAAATTTACATAAAACATTTTTTCAATAAAAAAATATAAAGTAAATTTTTCGTACGGTTTAAGGGACGGATGGTAAAATGGCCGATCCAAAGAAGTAAAAAAACTGACGATTTATTTTTATTACAAAAAATTGTTTTAATAATTTTATAAATAAGCATGATTACCATTGGTCATACCACTCGGTCGATTGTATGTAAACTGTACGTACACCTTTTGGGTTCAATACTCATAATTCTGTCTATATTCGCAGTTCGCACTATGAAGAGGAAACTCACATATTATGGGAATTAATTTAAAATAATAATATCCGATATAATAACATAACAAAAACTTATTTCATGTCCTCTAGAAACCATAATCAAATATTGCAATAGTACTCGCATTCGAAAGATTACATTATGAATGAATTTAGAACTTGACACGTGTTAAATTGTACGTAGATACCTTTACTGAATATGTTAAAAAGTAACTTACAGTTTTGACTAATGTAATATCTAAATATTAAGATTAAAAATAAATATTACACATAATATTATGCTTACTTTTTAAAACTCAAGGCCCCATTAAATATTTGAAAATTACTTCGTACGATTTTGCCAATGAAACTTATACATACATATAAAACAAATTAAAAAGACTGTCTGCTCTGTTGGTTTATTCTTAAGTCTAGATCCATGTGATTGAATGAGTCTTCTAAACATCCACAAAATTTAAATCAATAAATTCTTTAGCTGTGTAACCACTTAGTTAGTTAACATTCATATATCCTCCTAAGGCCCAAAGTTATTTTTAAAGGAATAAATAATATGTGTGTTCAGACCCAGCATCAAATATGGTTACTTCTTCATGCAGGCCCAGTCCTTTAAAAAGGTTCAATTTTAAAATCACGTTTTTCGAATTCAAATGGACCGCCAAATAAATATTTGACATTTAAGACGAACCTGGAAGACCTTTTAATCTGTTACCGGAAGTCGTAATTATTGGTTTAAAAATTGATCTTGTGACGCCATTTCTTTTTCGACACGATGGCTGACTTTAGAAGACAGAGTGAGTAAATCTTTCTTTATCCTTGTGATCAGTCATATCAGCACGGTTTCGTACACAAAAATATGCGTGGCTATATGTTTTCCGTAATTATATTAAATACTTTTTTCTTTTTACTATCGAAAATGATACATTTAATTAAACCAAACTTTTTGATACTTTAAAAAGTACCACGGGCTTTTATACCCAAAATCCCGTATTATTTTAGACCTATACAAAGGTATTTGGGTTATTATGTTTACTTAAGATGAAGTGCACGTTAAGTTAATGAGTTAAATTAAAATACTTTTTTTAAATTTATTTAGGTAGGTACTAAATATTAGGTATTGTTGTTTCTAGTATATATTTAAGTAACAAAAAAATTAAAAAAAAAACTTTTTTTTTCGGGAGTAAATGACCAACAAATAGTTGATTTACTTGTTGATTCAGAATTTGAAAATGAAGCAGCTGATATCAATGAAATTGATGATGGGCTGATGGCAGGCATTTCTAGTGGGTTATCACGAGATAAAGATTTGTCAGATTCAGGGTCCTCGAGTGTCAAGAGATCGGAATTGGAATCAAGTGATTCAGATTCTCAGTCCAAACTTTCCGACGAAGATATGACTCCCGCACCTTCATTACGAAGAAAAGGACGAGATTGTGGCATGCAACAACGTGGAGCTATGCAACGTTTACGCGGAATTACATCGCGAAGGGTAACCAATAATAGGAACGTGCCAGCGTCATTTTCATCTGGTGTAATGTACATTGTGAGTGGTCAATGAAGAATTTTAATCCGCATGTTATTTCGCGTATAGAACCTTCATATCTACCGATTGAGATTCATCTACCGATAAATTTGATTACATTAAGCTCTACATCGATGACGAAATAATGAAGCTAATAGTATTGAAAAATAATCAAACTTTCTTGTCAAAATATAGCAAGTGCCTTGATCTCACTACCAATGAATTGCATATATATATATATATATATATATATATATATATATATATATATATATATATATATATATATATATATATTGGCATAACTTTAGCCATGTCATGCATTCAGTATCTTCTTCTTGTGAAGAGTATTGTTATTTAAATCTGTAATAAATGTTGATTTTTTTTTAATAAAAATTGTGTTTTTATTTATATCGTTAGAACCCAAAGTCCTACAGATAGTGTAAATTTTTGGTACCTACTTATCTAATCTGTACTTTACAAATGGGTCCTTTGGTACGTTATAAAGACACTAATAAATTATATTTAAAATAAAAACTGCAACAAAAGAAAACATTGCATCTTTTTGTTTGGGTCTGAACATCAATAAAATTTGATCCTTTTAAAAGGTCCTTCGGGTCATTATCTAAACTAAGCAAAAATATTCTTTGTATTTTGCAGTAAAGTATTACGTATTCTAAGATAATATGATTGTCAAACAAATGAGAATAGATTAATAATTAAATAAACAATAATTTATTAAATGCCACAATTACGGATCACATTAGACATTTTCAGTGGGTATTATACAAAAGTAGTAATTACCAAATAAATATGATAACAAAATAATAAATTAACTTAAAGTTCTTTGCATTATATTATATTGTAGCTTATATTGTTCTATAATAATACATTACGATACAAGGGACTTCAGTAGCCGATAATTGACTGTGTGAAGTTAACTTTACATGGTTCCATAATCGGTTACTTAAGTTCTGTGTATCGTACATTATTTTATAGTATAAGTGACTTAAAGCCACTTTTTTAATTGAAAAATTATAGAATACTAAATGATGATAAAGACAAAAATCGTGCCAGAGCAAGCAAAAGAGCAGTGATCTTTCTTTCTCTTGGCGGTACATGGTAGTAATACATAATTGTGTTTTAATAATTGTACTTTAAAAATAGAGTTCAAACTAAAAATGTACAAAAAAATAAAATTATGTCATGTATTTTTTTATATTTCTTGATGAAATGATTTAATGTTTTTTTGTAATTTAAAGTATTCTAATAGATGTTACTAATAAAGGTAATATTGTTCTGTATTTACTATTGTTTCAATTTAAAAATTATAAATTATTATAAATTTTATGCGTGATTTAAGTAAAACTACCGTACAATAATCGGGTAGTTAAATCCCGCGAGAGCGTGACTTAAACGTGGTTTTAAGTCAACGTGTGCTATAAAATTAAGTAAATTATAATTTTTATTTCACTTTAGACAGGAGTATAATATATTTATTATATTTTTCGACATTTGTTATTTAAACATGATTAAAAATATTTGCTCACTTTGATAACCTTAATCAATTTCTGATTGTTATTGCACTACAAATAAATGGCAAGTCAAAGAATATAACGCAGAGAAACCAAGTAACCATAAGTATAGATATAATTTTAATTATGCCATAATTTCTTGTTACGCAGTGTTAAATCAGTTTGCAGTCTTTTATAATATCAATTAAAAAGTATATTATGGTTTTATATTTGAAAATTTACCTGGCACAATGACAAAAACTTCTATTTTGTCAGTGTGCCAGGTAAATACCATTCCACTTAAATTTGTGTGCGTTTAAATTATATACCTTGGAAAACAATCGTTCTGTGCGTTATAATTCATGTGTGTGGTAATAAACCACAGTTTCATTTCATATTCTTTAAGGTTACACAGTAAGGCTATAATCTCATAAGAAAAAAAACTATTTCCTAAAATATAAATAAAATCTGAAATGCAAAAATTAGTTTTACCAAACACAGGCCAAATAAAAATAATTCAAAAATACAATGTCACTGTATGGCTCTTGAGCTCAACCTTCGACTGCTTTGTATTATACGTTGTATTACAAAACTAAAATATAATTGGGATACGTCTATCGCCTGCCATTTGACAACAAAGCTTTTGAAACTAACTTCACTCCAAATGTGTGATGTGCTAACAGGAAAGTACAACAATATTTGAGTAAACATAAATTATTTACTAATTTGAAAGAGAGGATGACGGGACTATAATATAATTTATAAATTTTACATCCACGTTCGTGCACGTGCAAAATACAATCGATTTTTTGAAAAGGCGATATAGTATTTGATACTTTATATGAAATGTAGTATTTCTTTGAAGTCTTACCCAGTTAAAACAATTTTAATAGATTATTTTCAGTTAACGTGTACACAAAATTGATAACATATATTAGTTGTAGCAGCGGCAAAGTGTTGGCAACTTAATTAGTTTGTGGACCATTCTAAATAAGTGAATTTAGTCAACGGTCGGCTACATTCCTATTTTAATCGGACAGTATGTATGTTACAGATATTATTCATTTAATTGTTATACAATTTAATGTGTATGCAGTGGACCAAAATATTGTTTATTAAATTTTTTTGTGTACAAATTCAAGGTACATATAATGATTGTACAGACTTTAGCATCTGGTGATCTCAAATGTCAATTTTGTCATTGTGCACATCATTCGGCACATCGCCGACTGTAGATTGAGTATACGTCAGTTGATTAAAATTGATTTTTTTTTTCCATGGAATCCTAGCCTACTGTTATAATTCTAACTAAAGCTGAATGTCATGGTTGCAGAGATGTGTCTCATTGTTATTTCTATGTTTAACTCTTTATGTCAATGTTACTTCTAGTTGCGGACGATGCTATGTTATTAACATTTAGAATTTAACATTTTCATTTTGCCTTTGGTGGATTTGACTCGTATTTGATTATTTTTAAATTATTATATTCCTAAGTCTCCAATAAGGAGTTCTTAATTTGATAATATATTATATTGACACATTCAAAAATGTATAACCTAATAGCTAATTATGATAATTAAAAAAAAAATACAAAAAAGTGCCACCTTAATATTACTATATTTTTGCGGTGACCAAAATAATATTACACTTGCCAGTTAAATAATGATTTATAATTTAAACTATATGGAGATTCAGAAAATTGACTAGTTTCAATTTGTTTATTTCACATAATATAAAATCCAAGTAATTTCGAAGGACTATTTATATTTTATAAAGCAAAAATTTGTAAACGATGAAATGCATGATTTAATAAAAATATTTAATAAAATAAATAAACTACATATTTTGAAAGAAAGTTGTGTAAATTTAATTAAATCAATGTTTTAATATCATTAAAAATAACAACCAGCATTGGCTACCACTATCAGTCGCAGTGTGAAATTAGCTCTTATGATATTTTTGTTTCTAATAAAAGGCGGAATATTTAAAGTTCTAAATTTTTTCTATTCTACATGCAGTGTTATGTCTACAGCGATATTGCGATAATATTATCCCTTAAATAATGTACACTCGTACTAGTTGCCAACATGAAGGCAAGATTTTTCTTTAATTGCCAATGTGTTACGGTTGAAAGATAATAATATACCTTAACCTAAAGAAATATTACTTAATACAAAAAAGAAGTATTTCAATAAATCTCAATAATTTTGGTGGTTTTGGCGTTTTTATAATATTTTATATTTTAACAGGAGAGGAATTACGTTTATAACATAGACGCATTTTACTGATTTTATCGTTAATGTACTAAATATATGATAACTTTTTTATTATGAAGATATTTATTAAAAAGATATTGGCATAGAGTAGTTGACACTCATGTTATTTTTTTATAAGCTCTCATCTCAAAATTACATTTTTAAAAATCTATTTTTAATAACAGTAAGCAACATCGATTTCTTGACGTCAAATAAATATCTACCTGTAATTTTAAATTAAAACGGAAATTTGTCCAAGCGGGAGACGTGATAGGATGCCTTCTGCCTAGAAGTCCGATTGTGTAGGTACAAAGGTCACAAAGGTATACAAAAGTACAGGTTGTAGCTGCCTTATACTTACTTCTGCCGCCAGATGGCAGCGCATGCACTTGTGTAATCTGACGGGTGTAGGGAGTCCATATAGCTACAGGCTGTGAGGCATTCCATCTCAGTGCTCAGAGGTGAGCCTTCTTTATTTCAATTTGTCTGCAGGTGTCCATAGACTACAGCAGTCACTTACCATCAGATGGACTGTAAATTCGTTTCACTTCAATTGATTAAAAAAAAAAGTAACAAATTATATGATGTATCAATTTGTTAACGTTTGTGTCAACTACCGATTACTTAATAAGCCATGTTGCTTATTTCAGCTTAGCTTCTACTAGCCACATACTTGTACTTTGGCATAGGATTTATTTGTCAGCAGTTAATATTATATAAATTTAACTTTGAGCAGAAATATTCACAGCGAATTCAAGGAAAAAAGTCCTTACAGGCCAATGTTCTTTTTTACATTTAGTAAAATTAGAAATATATCCCCAATTTACGAAATTGTAATTAGTATATTTAAAATCATAGCAGTACGGATGTAAAAAAAACGGGCGTAATGTAACACTGAAAATGTGTGAAGCACGCTAGGTCCTACAATATACAGGTTGTTAGTGTAAACACCGTTATCCTTGAAACCAGTGGTGTTTAGCTTCACTTATAGAACGTAAATTACAAACAAAATTGTAGGACCTAAGGTGGTTCACACGTTTTCAATGTAGGTAATATTACGCGCGTATTTTTTACGTCCGTGCATAGCAACAATAAAATATTGCAAGAATGAATAAAGGTAATAATATATTACTTACTGATAAATTGTTTTTGTATTCGCACAAATATTTACTTAGACTTAACCTAATTGTCATACGAATTTCAATCTTACATAGTTAATAATATACGCAATCGTTGCTCGGGTAGAAGTGCACTTGTTCCGAGATATAACTAGCAATTCCACATTCTAACGTACTTTAATTTAATGCAATCACAATTCCAGACCTTATAACACGTCAACGTAAGATACATTTTATATCATCACACAATCAATGAGCCTCAACAAGCTACAATAAATAAATCCATTATAATCTTCTTATTAACTATTTTGTTATTTAAAATAGATTTAAAGCGATTTAGAAAATGCCGTGGGGTTTAACAGTTTACGTTATTTTTTGTGCTTGCTATAAAATCAAATTTGGCTAAAGCTCTATTCAATTTGTAATTTAGCAAATCTTATTACCTACGAGATGAGATTTACCTTAATGTTTCGATTAAAAGGCGTTTTTTTTAACATCTATCTAAAAATCTATTTTACATTTAGAACATATTTCACACTTTCCGTAAATTCGGAAGCAAATACGGAACATATTTTACTCCTAGCCCTACGGTCCCGCTTCACAACTTCACATAATGGAACGAGTACTACGTGGATACAAGAACCGAAATATCTGCGAACGTTGCAGGAAAGTGCGTTCCTCCCAAACTGCGTCGCACTTTCTCTCGGGTTCGCCTTTTAGTGCTGTTGTAAACGTAGTGATTTTACTCTTTGGTACCGTTGTCAACACAATCGCAGATGCAAGGATGCGTCCATTCGTTCTCGACATTTATTTGTTGAAAAAGTTTTTTTTTAATCACGTTGTGTTTTGTTTTGTTGATTTAATATTATTGAAGGTTTAAACAAAACGATGAGAAAAACTATACAAAGCTAAGAACAAAATGGGTACATCTCATGTTGTTTATTAATTATTTTAGTTTTTTTTTATTGTTGATCTATGCCGGTCTTATTACGAAACATGTTTTATTAATAGTCTTCAGTTTAAATAAGAATCTCTGTCACGTAAGAAATCTCTTACCTGCGGCGCAGTTTTTGTGAAATTTGACGTTTGCTGTCAAATTGTATACTATCACTCGCTTCGCTCGTGCGCTAACTTCACACGATTCAATAATCGGCTACTTATGTAGCTTGTATCGTAATGTAATATTATTATTTATTAACATAATATTATATTGAGTAATATTATACGACCGAAGGTAACACTGTGAATATCAATTATACATTGCGACAATTTTGGGGAGGTCTAAACTCAGTAGTGGATAATGATAGTTATATTAGTAAAGACTATAATTTAACAGGTCCGCCGCAGATATTTCGGTAGAGTTGTATCTCGTAACTGAGTAAGCGTGCACCAGGTGCAAGGTTTGTGAAGCGGTGCGATTGTGTAACTCTGGTGTGAATTGTTTGTTGGTGGGAATAACTTAACAACTACGTTATGTATTTTCATTGTGAAAATATGTCATAGTATACAATAGAATATTAATATAAAAAATAAAACGAAAAAACAACCCATTTCATATTGTAGGTGCCGTAAGAGGCAATTTAAAAAAATGCCATAAAATGTTATGGTTTTTGATAGATATATAATACTACTAGTTGGACAGGCAAACATCGTTGTGCCTCTTCCGACGACCTTTTGTCCTATAAAAAAAATCTTAACATCGCAATAAAAAATATTCAGGGTTACTTATTGGGTTAAAACTTAGCATATCTCTCAAGTTACAAGCAATACACATTTATAAATATTCAATGAAATTATTTCATAGTTTAGGAGTTGTGTAACTTTTATATATATACAGATATTATTTAGTAGACGTAAAATAATTAGACTCGCAGACCGGCGCTGAGAGCAGCGTCAAAGGTACGAACGTCTGATACTGCGAATATCAATTCGCTTGTCAAGCCTGATTATGATGATCACGGTAAATCCTTTCTACCTAGTGCGGCTCATGTTAGAGTCAACATACTTTAACAAGCTGTAAAGAAAAATACATCGCGTATTTATCGATACTGATACATTTCCACATACAACGGACACCAAACCTCAAAATAAAACCAAGCACAATTCCAGAGTTATACGATCGCATCGTTGATTGATGAGCAATGTTAGACAGCAATTTACTGTCAATGAGTTGGTGAAGGTCAGTTTGGAAACGACGATGACGTCACCGATGTGTTCGTGGTTCAAACGGAGGTGTCGACGTGGCGAACAAAACGAAGCACGTCGATTGCGTTGCTTGTCGATGCAGTAAAGTTGGACACAGTATTTGAGTGTCGATGGGTTGGTGAAGGTCAGTTTGGGCAGGCGGAGGTGTAGGGCGTGGTTCAGACGGAGGTGCCGTGGCGGTCGATGTCGAGGGACACGTCCTCGGGGCTGGCCAGGTCGGCGCGCAGCCGCACGCCGCGCCCCGTCAGCGTCCAGCGGCACGCCGCCCGCCCCGCCCCCGCCGCCACCGCCCCCTCCGCAGGTATTCTGCAAATAAAAAACTTACTTTAACTTCTCTTGTTAAAATTCTGAGAACTAACATGTAATGCCACACAGCCTGTAGTGAGCCTCACCATATTTGATATTCAAATATATCTATTATATCTATAAAAGAAAACTTATAAACTTCAAAATAGGGATGGCGATCTGAGATCGATTAATAGAAAAATCGATTTCTTGTGCCAAAAATATCGATTTATTATATCGATATATAGTACTGAATCAATTCAGTGAATCGATATTTCAGCTTAGAAAATCGAGATCGAATCTTTTTCTGTTTTTATAAGAACTGTAAAATTTAAAGTTCCTTTCAATAAGTATTGTTTATAATCTACATTGAATAAAAAAGTTTCTGTTTCTGTGAGTTAGTGAGTGGTGAGGTGTGAGCCAGTGGTGAGGTATGCGCTAGTGAGTTAGTGGTGAGGTGCTTGCGAGTGAGGTAGGGGTGAGGTGTGCGCTAGTGAGTTAGTGGCGATGTTTGCGCTAGTGAGCTTGTGATTAAGCGTGCGCTGCTAGTGAGGTGGCCATGAGGCGGTGACCTGCAGGCGGGCGGGTGTGGCGGCTCCTCGTCGGGCGAGGCGTTGCTGCTGGCTGAGCTGCTGGCCGAGCTGCCGCCGCCGCGGTACCGCTCCACGCCCTCTGCACCAACCGCTATAATGACTACCCACCCTACCGTTACACCACATCAACACTCCACTGCTGAACATAGGATACAACTATACATTATCTCGTAAAATACCATACATTATCGCGATTGCTAAACATGAGCCCCCCGGGTTCGAATCACAGGTCGAATCAAAAATCAGTTACTGAGATTTATTTCTGTAAAAAATGCTCAGCAGCAGCCCGGAGTCAGGAAGTAGACAGTGTTTTCAACCCCGTGCTTCGGAAAACCCGTAAAGCCGTTATTCCTGCGCCGGATCTCTCTTCGATCGTATCGAGTTAACGTCCCATCGGTCTATGTGGGTGAAGGAATACACGCAAACTCTCTGGCAATATAGTCCTGTCCTGCGCAGGTTAACCCACGTTGAGAGTGGCCGCCGTAATTGAAATTATATCTGGGGTAGATTATACTTACCATAGTTTCCACGCGTGACAATCGCAATTTTTTATTATTTTGAGTGGATATCAGTATGTTGCTACCCATCTCTTGTTTTCCTCTGTCGTTTTTTACGACACCCACAGCACTTTATGTAGTAGTGGATGTTCTTAAACCGCCACTACATGGTAAAAACCGTAACCTTTGCCGATATAAATAAATTTTTACTGTTACTTTCAAATTAAGTAAACGCTTCATATTTTTATAGCCCAACCAGGAAAATAAAATAAAATCCCTTACCATATGGTGAACATTAACCAACTAAATCCTTTTATTAGCAGGTAAAATGCTGCCAGCAAAGTATGATGGCCGAAACACACCAAAATCGGCGCGTATAGCATTTCGGCGTTTATTTTTTTTATATAATAAGTTTAAAAAACGTTGCACACAGTTCATGTGGCGATAAGAAGATGCTGTGACTCATAGATATCTACATCTGATCTCGATTAACAATCAAAATACACATGTGTTAGAACCCCCCAAAAACTAAGCTGAGAATACCTCGTTTTAGGTAAAGAGGAACTGGTGTGGGTTCCGGCGGCAGTTATATCATCTAAAACGTAAGATCGTTAAGAAACCGAGCCTTCCTTCGGAAATATTATTTCACCTTTTACATAAATATGGTGATGTAATAGATTTAACAATCAAGTCCATTCTATCGCAATGTTTATCGATCACGTGGTAATTTTTAATAATAATATTTTTGGTATATTGATACCATATGAAATCAACAAGTGCAGGGATTTTATTTCTCTGTTCTGGCTCAATGTGAATCACTATGTAATACCTCGCCTGTCCTCACTGTCGGGCGCGTCTTCTAAAGTGCGTAGAATTTCAGCACAAAGCTCAGAGTCCAATGGCACGGGGTTATCCGAATCTCTAAAAATAATGAAAGCATTCCACAATTATTAATGACCTATGAAAAATCCTTCAATATTGCTAATAAAGGCATTTTACGTTCTCCTTAGGTTTTTTTTTATAGAATAAGGGTGAGAAATTAGCACACAGTCTACTTGCTTTTAAGCGAATGCTGTGTTCATAAACATCTACATCTATCCTCGAAATCCATAAGAATCCAAATGCAGATGCGTTGTCATCGTTGATGACTAAGATGCAATACCTTCGTTTCCAGTAAATGGAGTCTCCAGTTCTCTACATTCACCATACGAAACACAGCAGCATGAAGCTGGTATTTTACGCTAAAATTCTGTGAGTCATCCTTCCCTGGTCGAGCCGAGCCGGTCGTGGTGCAAGTATAGTCTAGCTGCAGCGTGGCAGCGTATAACCACGCATCGAAGCGGAATAGTCTACGTGTTTTTTTTATAGGATAGAATGACAAACGAGCACCACAGTGCAAACAAGAACAACACAGTCCACCTGATGGTAAGTGGTTGCTGCGGCCCATAGACATCTTCATGTATCCTCAATTACAAAACAAAATGCAAATGCGTTGCCACGCGTGAGGACTAAGATGGAATGCCTCGTTTCCAGTAAAAAGGGTCTCCGGTTCTCTACACTCACCATACGAAACACAGCAGCATTAAGCTACTATTTGACGCTGGTATTCTGTGAGAGCAGGGTCCATCCCCAGTCGAGCGGACCCATTCGCGCTACAACTATACTACTAATATAACTGCAGCATGGCTCTACCACGTAACAAAACGTGTACTGACCGGTTGTGCAGCACGAGCGCCACGGCGGCGGGGTGCGGCACGGGCGGCTGCGGCGGCGCGCGCGGGCTGAATGCGCTCACGTCCAGCGCGGGCGCGCGCACGCGCGGCGCCGCCGTGCCGCCCCACTCACCCCACGCCACCCCTGCACGCAACAACCAACCTTACGTTACACTACATACGGACACAACTTCACTAAACACCGATTTACAATTCGACAAATACAGTAGCGAGCTAACTTTCGAACCTGGCGAGTTAAGTAGAAAATCTCGTTTGAACGGCAAGTGAGTTATGTAGCAAGATAACAAAATTGATTGAGATAGCTGGTCGGTCCATAGAATACTATAATACATATATAATAGAACGGGGGTGTAGGCGGTGCCCGTGTAGCCACTAAGACGTCAATTCACACGTATAAATGTCAACTCGAGATGTCTTTTGACGTTACAATCGTTTCCAAATTTTGCATGCAAATTATTTAGAAAATGCCAAATTGCACGCTATTTACAAATAAATATGTATTAAAATCCATCAGTCAACACAGCGAATCGGGTTTGTAGTAGTGATTAACTGATAATACGACGTTATTGCTTGTATGTGTGCTCCCGGCGACGCCGAACCTCGGTACAAAATAAGGTTAACACTTGACAGCCATTCTATTGTGTATTATAGTATTCTATGGGTCGATCTATTTTTCGGCGATTAAGTTCGAAGTGTTGACCTCCCGCGCGTCTCACACCACCCGCAAGTAAGCTTGCCGCTCGCGTGAATGAGCGAGTTTAGTTGAGTGCATAAATTGACAAGACGCAACGTGTTCGCGTTCGACCCTCAAAATATAAAATTGTACCTTTTTTAACTAAGCTCGCTACAAAGACATTTGAACTCTACTGTCCACTTAACCGTTTACTGTCAACTGCCCTGTAACTAAACCCATTGGAGCTATATATAAGCTCATGAAATAAAACTACTTTTACGGATTTTATCACGTTTAATTTTTAACTTTTTAAATTCCCGACGTTGAACGCGATGAAATCCGTAAAAGTAGTTTATTCCATGTGACATAAATATAACAAATCATCACATAAGCTTTTTCTGACGACACGTCGAGATATATACGCCTATTACACGCCGAGATACTGTGCAGCTACACGTGCGCACCACCAGCCCCCACACTTGCACACTGCAATACATTTTACATCACACACGGATATAACTCGAGGAGAATCTACCGAGTCACGTAAACAATTTCGTACTGATTAAGAAAATGTACACTGATCACAATACACGTCGTGTGACATAATCAACTTTATGTCACACGACAAACTCATACTCCTCGAAACGGGGACACGTTGTGATATGAATGTTGGTACGCAAGGGGCTATCGTGCTGCCCCATACGCACTTCAATAGACCCATAAGCCTGCACAGCTCAATACACTTTACATTACATAATACAAAAAAACAACTAGGCAAGGACACTTTATGTCACTTGTGCTTTTGAATTTGTTTAGAAAAAATAGAAACAAAACGCCCGCCACTGCTGCAAATATATTGACTTTTCATACCATTTGACACAAACCACAGAATACATACATCAATCAGACATACTCCCGCAAAGAGTAGTAAATGTACGTCTATGTTTGCATGTCTGTGTATGTGTGCATACATGAAGTTGAATATGAAATTAATGGAAGAATTGGTACAGCATAAGTGCTTTCGAAAAATCGAGATCCAAGGTTACGTTCACATGATCTCAGATTAACTACTAAGATAGCGGTCTATAGGGCGGTTATTATGCAAGTCTTTTATATTTTTCTGAGTGTGGGTGTTTGTACTGCAAGATTTGTTGCAATGTCTCTGTATTGTTATAGGTATACGTTCGTCCGACCGTGTCAGGAATACGGAACTCCTACACCGAGTTCACACCTGAAGAGGAGGCGCTCTTCACGCAGTGGAAATTGCATTGGTGTGGTCATGTGTTTCTGATGATGACAACAAAGTGGTCACAGTACTTCACACAAAGCTTCAAAAAGGGAAGCGCAAGCAAGACGGGTAGCTCCTCGTACATGATGAATGATGATGTATTAAAAATAATGAGATTGTGAGCTTGTGCTCGTGCCTTTGTGCGTATGCGTGTGCTGTTTCTGTAAACATGGTTCGGGCGCAGTGTGGCGCCAGCGTATGTGCATGTAAGTGTGTTGTGTATGTGTGCGTGTAATGGCGGTGTGCACGTAGCACTCACCGGGCGCAGCATGGCGCCAGTCGTCGCGCTCGGCGAGCACGTCGGGCGGCGCGTGGTCGCGGCCGCAACGCGCCGCCCAGGCTTGCGCGCCCTCGCCGCCCTCCAGCGGCAGCCGCGCCTCGCCCTCCGCCAGCGCCGCCAGCACCTCCGCGTCGAACACCTGCACACCACCACTTACATTACTACTCATTCTCCTCGCTATCTCGCACAACGCACGTGATGCCCGCAGTGCTGGCTTTGACAACTAAACCTTACATTTATTCTTTACTGTATAGTTGCGGTGTAAGAATATAAATTATACGTAGTAGAGCACACAACTTACATGCATTTCACAAATGGTTTGGTATGACGTTGTCACGTTAATCTATCGTCCGTAAGCCGACTTTACAGACAACCATTTTTTTTAAATACTGGTTATTAACATAGTACTAATATTTCCTTAAATAATTTCCGATAAGTTTAAAATGTTTGTGATAAGGAGTAGTTTGAAAGTAATCGAATGGCGGATTCGAAGCCACGATCTTTTGAATTATCGGTCCGCACACTACAAATAAGTTACCGTCGCCTAAGTTTAGCAACTGCAATCTATTGAGTTGTTATAAGGAAGATACTGCTTCAGTTTTCATCTGTCGCATCTTACGACATCCACGATATGAGCGATGTAATAGTATTGCCATTGCAAAAGTTACACTTACCTTTACCTTTACAGCATCAAAAGTTTATCACCGACTCCATCACAGATTGACTCATTGTCACTCAGACTACACACAGGTATTTTTTAGTTGTTATTAGGAAGACGCTGCTGTACATCTTCTGGTTTATTTCCTGCTGTCGTCGCTTGCGACGATATGCGATAGTGGATATTCTTACACCGCCACTACACGGTTCCAAAAGTAACACTTAATGTGATAGCAATAAGGTTGTAAGTGCGGTGCGCGCACCTCGACGAGTGTGTTGGCGGCGAGCGCGTGCCAGTCGGCGGGCTCGAGGCCGCGCGCGCTCCACCACTCGTCGCTGCGCGCGCCCCATAGCCGGCTTAGCTCCTGCGCACACGCCGCAACTGCTTTCTGCGCGTCAAACATGATAATGATAAAGATAGATCTTTATTTGTATAAAACATTGTAGTGTAGATAAAGTTGTAAAAGTAGTGTAAATGAGCATTCATGTTTAATCGGTCTATCGATAAGCAAATATTTTGTCATCGTCATGCAATTAAATTACATAACCAACATTTTAATTAAATAAATATAAATTATAGTGAAATTAATACAAGTCATAATAATACAGAATGTCAGCATTTGAAAATAAAATGTCAAGAACCATAAATAAATTAAGCAATGCTAGTCAATTTTGAATACATACAGAACAATGTCATAATTCATAACTACTAACAAGGTAAAACTTATATCACTTATGGAGAAACAACATGATACAACAGAAATTAAACAATTAGTTATTTCTTTTAAGGTGTCCGTCATGACATTAATGTCATAAAAACAATTGTCAATAAGAATTTTGGATATTACTTTCTTGAATGCAATGAAAGAAAGATATTGGGTAGTTCGGATGTAAATTAAACAATCTAACGCAGCTGCCCAGCTCCTTCCACTTGATCGCATCCAGCGCAGAGCGACTCGAATCGTCGCCGAGTCCTCTCCGATCGGCTCGATTCACTGGCGCTGCCAAGGATGTTGCATCCTTTTTTATCTTCTATCGCATCTAACACGGGGAGTGCTCTGAGGAATTGTTCGGATCAATTCCAGCCGCCAAATTTCACGAACGCACGTCGTGTCAAAACTCACAACACCATCCATCCACACCATCTGGATCCTTGACGGTTCATCACTGTACGTTACCAGGGAGTTTTCTTCCTCGTACGACCTCTCTGTGGAATCGTTTACCACCGGCAAATTTTCCGGACTGAAACGACTTAGGGACCTTCAAGAAAAGAGCTTACTCCTATCTGTAAAGGCCGGGAACGCACCTGCAAATTCCCTGGTGTTGCAGTTGTTCATGGGCGCCGGTAGTCACTTACCATCAGGTGAGCCGAATGCTTGTTTGCTCCCTCTTCTATAAAAAAACTAAATCACCCAAAATTCACAACTCATTAAGTCAATCTGTCAGTAATTATTTGTCAGCATCTTTTTAAAATTCTTTGGAGTCAATCTCTACTCTGTATCTGTGTTTAATATTAGCAGTATATTAATGTTTTATTTTATTCATTTTAATGTACTTGTGTTAATTTCGTGCACTCGTTCTCCTCGAATTAATATATAAATTATAGTAATATGTATTTTATCACATCCAATTTTTATATGAAAGAAATTAGGATTTGGCTACTGTTTCTCTATTTTTATTTACAAAATAAATTTAGTTGTCTTTAAAAATGTCACTTATAAGATAATCATTAATATTGAAAAATGAAATAGCTACTCTTATATTTTTACGACATAAAGTACATAGAGTATAAAAACACACAACATAAACAGGAAACGAAGGCAAATCTCATTCTGTCAAGTTATAATATCTGCCAGAGTCAAATCCGTAATAAATATCGCAAGATTTATTATAATCTGTAATAATCATTGTTGTGAGTGGAAAATGAAAAAAGTGACTTTCAATAAGTATTGTTATAAAAGTTAAAAGTTAGTTAAAGTTACAGCCTACGTACGTCCCACTGCTGGGCACAGGCCTCCTCTCATTTCTGAGAGGGTTTTAGGGCAAGGAATAGCCCGCCGCGCTGCCCTAATGCGTGTTGGCGAACTTCACATGTCTTCGAAATATTTTTCTTTATTATTTCTAAGACATGCAGGTTTCCTCACGATGTTTTCCTTCACCGCCGAGCACGTGGTAAACCAGCACTTAAAATTGCAATTAACACTTTCATTGGTGTCGGCGGGGATCGAACCCGGTTTGCTCGCGTATTGTGAAATTTACAGCGAACGCTAACCATCTGAGCTACCACGGCTCTTACTGCAGACTTCCCGGAACGTTAATGCTACGTTGATGTTGAGCATATAGCTGATGTGAAGCATCAACGTTCCGAGAAGTCTTCAGTTTGTGATCATATCCTAGACGGCCATAACCATTACATCAGATTTGATAGACCACAAATCCTCGCGAAAGAACACCGATTCCTACCAAGGATGATACGTGAGGCTATTGAAATTAAAAAACATCCTAATTTCAATAGAGAAGGAGGCTGGGTACTACCACCTGCTTGGGATCCTATAATCAATAAAATTAAAACTAAACCCAAGCATACCACTGCAAGACCTCAAGACATAGTCAGTTCATTTTGCATAGATCGGACCAAAAACAATAATTTAAAATGTTGAAGGTACTCCGGGTTTAACAATGACATCGGGACGTCAGTCATCTCAGTCCCCCATGACCATGGGGGTGCTGGAAAGCGCCCGAAACGTCGGGAATTAAAAATAATAGTAAAATAAACGCGATAAAATCCGTAAAAGTAGTTTTAATCAATGTGTAGTGATCGCGTAAATATAAGAAATCATTATAAAAAAAGTTTCTGTTTCTGTGGCTTCTCAGGAACAATGGATTCGAAAATATTATTATGTATATGGTATAGATGTATGTACATGGTGTCACTTTTTGAAAATCGAATAAATTTTGTTTTCTCCCTTTATATTCGTATTTATACGAGTATTTGACAGTTACGGATATACCCTGAGTTCTGGCGCTGTCATACGGATGCGAGCTCGAGCCGCATCTGTAAGACCTAGAGCCAGGTCGCGTCTTCTCGCCGCTAGCTTCTCGCGAACTGACATCACTAGCTCACTGCACTCTTTCTCTAGCTGTTTGTATGCACCAGTCTGAAAAAAAAACGAAAAATGCTTTATTGATTTTATCACTTGATAGATCAGTGTAAACCATAATATAAATTGAACGTCAAATCCTCTCATTTGTGGTAACTACATACATAGTTGGCATCATAGGTAAGTATAATGCCACCTACATGCAGTAAGATGAGTTATTTAATTCACACATTGTACATGAGTTGAACAAGAAAGTCGTTGCGAGACTAATTCTGAACAGCTGAGTGTGAAGTTGTTTTAAATTCGATTTCGAGTGTAAAATGACTTGCCTAATCATTTTTAATTTGCAAATTTTTTTTGGAGATGATCTTATGATTTCGCAAGTTAGGTTCTTCTAGTTGTTACATATTGGCTACTTAAGATTACACGATAATGGATACTGGCCAATAGACAGGTGGATTGGTCATCACTTATTATAATTTTCACATCTTTGGTATCATTTTCTAATAAAAAAACGTAGAATTTAAAATACTACGTTCTTTTAATGATGAGTTTTACAATGATCGAAAGTCTTTAAGCAACGCTTACCAAACGGCGCATTATTGAGAAGACCACTGTAGGTTATAACAACGGTAGTAATAGTGTATTATGACGTTTGAGGGTAAAAAATAGATAGTTATACCTTAGCGATTTGTACAGAGAAAGGTCCAAAGCAGGCGTCCACGAAATGTGCGTAGTCGCGAAGCGGGCGCTCGATTAGGTTCTCTATGTCGCTGGCCCACTCCGCCAGCGCCTCTAGCTCCGCGCGGGCGCACACCGCCGCGAGCGCCTGCGCCGCTCTGTGAACATCGCAACGACAATATATCAAGATGTACTTCGATTTGCGAAGGATCGGTGATAGTAAGCTAGGTTTGCGTGCAATGTGAAACGTGTATGTGTGTGTGTGTTGAGATGCGTGCGTGTGGTACGAGCGTGTGCGTGTGATGTGTGCGTGGGATGCGTACATGTGCTCGTGTTGCGTGAGTATGTTGTGTGCATGTGTGCATCTGTATGTGCGCCTGCGCAGCTCTGTGAACATCCTAACGACAATATATTAAGATGTATGTACTTCGATTTGCGATGGATCGGTGACAGGAAGCTAGGTTTGCGTGCAATGTGAAACGTGTATGTGTGTGTGTTTGAGATGCGTGCGTGTGGTGCGAACGTGTGCGTGTGATGTGTGCGTGGGATGCGTACATGTGCTCGTGTTGCGTGAGTATGTTGTGTGCACGTGTGCATCTGTATGTGCACCTGCGCAGCTCTGTGAACATCCTAACGACAATATATTAAGATGTATGTACTTCGATTTGCGATGGATCGGTGATAGTAAGCTAGGTTTGCGTGCAATGTGAAACGTGTATGTGTTGTGTGTGTTTGAGATGCGTGCGTGTGGTGCGAGCGTGTGCTGTGATGTGTGTGTGGGATGCGTACATGTGCTCGTGTTGCGTGAGTATGTTGTGTGCATGTGTGCATCTGTATGTGCGCCTGCGCAGCTCTGTGAACATCCTAACGACAATATATTAAGATGTATGTACTTCGATTTGCGATGGATCGGTAACAGGAAGCTAGGTTTGCGTGCAATGTGAAACGTGTATTATGCGTGTGTGTTTAAGATGCGTGCGTATGCGTGCGGTGCAAGCGTGTGCGTGTGATGGGTGCGTGTGCGCGTGTTGCGGGCGTATGTTGTGTGCGTGTGTGCATGTGTGTGTGCGCGTATACTCGTGTACGCGCTAGTATGCGTGCGTGGTGCGGCGCGCTACTCACGTGATCTGGTACCAGGCGCGCGTGTGTAGGCCAGGGCCGGCCACGCGGCGGCAGAAGGCGGAGTCGTGCGCGGGCACGCGGGCACAGCGCACAATCACGGCTCGCCCCGCCACCTCCTCCCCCCCGCCGCGCACCGCCCACCAACTCACGCCACCTTTAATCACCAAAAGTTAATCGGAATGCAGTAGTAACAATTGTGAACGGCCAAATCATTGTCCGTGCCATTGATAAAAACAAGGATAAGACCCCCTGAACTGATCCCTTTGTCATGATGGATAGCCTGCCACCGCCCACCAATTAGCTGTGACTGTCAGTCCAAGAGGAATCGACATCGCTTGGTTAGCGCGAAACTTACGGGTGCTTGTTTTACTGGCCTCGTGGTCCCCATAGATAAGTGGTATCAACGACTTAACGTACACTCCATACAAATTTTAATTTGCCGCACATTGTTACCGCAAATTACCAAAATTCCCTTTATTATCTTGATATACAGAGTGTCTGGTAATTAATTAATAAATATAGATTATTTCACAAATTTTAAGTTCAATTACTACCAAATTGATCGATCGGCAGGGGCCAATTTTATGACCTCTTTCTCCAGATCTATTGAGCTGTATACAGAAAACCAATAAGATCATAAGAAGATTTATGCAGCCATAGCGAATGGCACTGCCCCTTATTCTACAAAACTCATTTTTGGTCATAATATTACTTCTAATAAAAATATGTGGTGTACCTACTTGGGATATTTTATTTAATATTTTTTTAGTGAGGCCATTACGTCCGCTGTACGCCATTCAAGGTTATCCACTAATTACCAGACATTCTATAAAATTAAAATTTCCCGACTAAATTATTATTCTATTAATCATTCATCAAACGTGAATTTAAATTTGAAACATGCATTTAATAAAAAATTACTCACCAACTAACAGAATTAATGCAAAGAACGGACAGAACACCACGGACACGACGAATGCGACGATCGGCTGCAGAATACCCATCAAGCCGATTTGCCAAATGAGTATTTGAAATAACACTAGATATCTAAAAATAAAAATAATATATTAATAATGTATACCATAACTCGTTCCTTGAATTTATCAAAGCAAAAGAAGAGTTAACGTCCATAGCGTGAATGTCTGAGAAATAACAAAAAATACAGTTATAATTGTAGCGTAACGTTAGCTAGTAGTAAACTCAATGACTGCTGACTGTAATGATACGTCAGGTTGTTGTCGGTTTTGTATAACGTCAGTGTCAGAAAGTCAAGAATAAATGTATGGTTTGTAAGGCCACACACTTCTAAGAAGTAGAGTTGTAGTTAGTTGATGAGCACGTCAGAAGGAAAAGATCACCAAAGTTAAAAGTTTAATTAAAAGTAAAATAATTATAAAGTTAGAGTGGCAAATCTTTCCCTGAGTAGTTGGTGTTTCGAAGGACGGTTGTTGACGTACTGCCGATTGTCAGCCTGCAATTAAATAGGTAAATTTAAATACACGCGACGCGCGGCTAAAGTAGGTTGTAACGTTTACTAAATAAAAATGTGTGCTGTAACCATACATACACGTTAGGATCAGTAGTCGATGTTATGTCAAGTCACGGTCGTGATGAGTATATAATAACATAGTGGTACTATTATGTGGGCTCGTAAACTGCGGATGAGAAGCAGCAGGATCGTTGATCGCAGGTCCCCGTCGGACACCTATTAACTGTCGCAGGTAAATCCCTGGAAGGTCACTGATCGTTTCCTAGGAATAGGTGGATATTCGAAGCGTTTGGACACGGGAGTAGGAGCGGACTAATTGTCACGCAAGTGAGAGCCTATAATTGTGTTCTGTCTGTGGTTGGGTTCGCGAAGAGCGGAAGAGGGAACCAGTGGTCGCGCGTGTGAAAGCCAGCATTAAGGGTAACTAATCGTCTCCGGTCAGTGAGCGGGAGCGGGAGCGCGCACCTGTTATCTTGCGGGCGCGGGCAGTCCAGGTCGTAGAAGATCGCGGCGGCGGCATGCAGCGCGAGCGCGAGCGGCGGCGCCCACAGCGGCACGCACAACGCACCGCACAGCGCCAGCGCGCAGCCCAGCAGCACGCACAGCGGGAACGCAAGCAGCAGCGCCAGCGACCCCAGCCCGCCCACCACGCCGTACGTCCACGCGCGGTGCGCCTGCCTGCTCAGACCTTTGCCCAGCAGACCTGATGAATAATATCTTTAATGTTTTCATAGCCATAGATTGCAGGCTCATTCCGGATCAAATGACCAAATGTAGAGTCTACTAGCTATCTAAAAGTGTATTAGTATGGTACCTGTATTGTGTGTATAGGTGACTGTGTTGTATTTGTGAGTGCTTTATAGCTAACTAACTATATGCAAATGATAGGGAGAGCTGTTAATGTTCTAACATCTTAACTCCCTAAACAACCTTAGTACAGCCTTTCCCATTAACAAACCTAGTCTTAGCCATAAACTAATTACATATACATCACATAGAATAGTGTTGCGCGCCTAAGTTGACGTCATGTACCCGGCACTAGCGCCACCTAGTGTCGGGGACGAGAGCGAGGGGAGCTTTCCAGAAAATGACATCACTAATCTTTCAACCGACAGCGCCATCTAGTATCGAAACGAAGAACTAAGCTTCTAGAAGCCCGACACTCGAACTCAGATTATAGAAAAAGGTACGCTGGTTGGTACTTGTGAGGAAGTGGATTGGTTACGTCGGTGCCAATATCTATCGAGTGAGACCCCCAGCAAGGATGCACAAACGGGAGTGACCACACTTTTGAAAGACTGTCGCAGCGTTTTCTCCCCGACCGAAATGGTCAAGGAGAAGAAGTTGTTACTCAAGTATCCCGATGTATTCTTATCAAACGATGCTGACATAGGAAAGACTGGCTTAGTTCAACACAAAATAAACGCAGGAGAAGAATTGCCTATCCGTCAGCAGCCAAGAAGATTGCCGGTAGCACGTGAAAAGGAAGTGGAAACCATGATTGAAGGAATAGTGAAGGATGGTGTTATTAAACCTTCCTCTAGTCCTAGGTGTTCACCCGTGGTGCTGGTAAAGAAGAAGGATGGCAGCTTGCGGTTTTGCGTTGACTACCGCCGTCTGAACGACGTTACGAAGAAGGACAGCTATACCTTGCCAAGAATTGATGACATGCTGGACATGCTTACAGGAGTAAAGTGGTTTAGCACGCTGGATCTAAAAAGTGGCTACTGGCAAGTTGAAATTGACCCTAAGGACAAGGAGAAAACTGCGTTCTCGATGGGAAGGGGTCTGTGGTAATTTAAAATAATGCCGTTTGGGTTGTGCTCCCGCAACGTTTGAAGGCTGATGGAACTCGTACTTACCGGGCTAATTGGCGATGCCTGTTTGCTCTACTTGGATGACATCATCATCGTAGGCCGTACGTTTGAGGAACACCTTCAAAACCTGGAACGCGTGGTCATGAAGATTCAGAGTGCCAACCTCAAGTTGAGTCCGAAGAAATGTTCACTATTCAAACGGCAAGTTAACTTTTTGAGTATCCGCAAGGATCCAGAGAAAACCGCCGCTGTCAAGGATTGGGCGGTTCCAAAAGACAAGACGCAGGTTAGAGCATTTTTGGGTTTGTGCTCCTATTACCGGCGATTTGTGAAGAACTTTGAAGATATAGCCAAACCTCTGCATAAGCTAACCGAGGAGAAGCGACATTTCTGCTGGGATGGAAGTTGCAATATCGCATTCCGGGAGCTCAAAGACCGTCTGTGCAAAATACCTACTTTGGGATACCCTGATGCAAGTAAAGAATTTATAGTTGACACAGGCGCAAGTGATACCGGACTCGGCGCTGTGTTGTCTCAACGGAACGATGATCGAGAGGTTGTGATAGCGTACTTAAGCAAGTCGTTGTCAAAACCGGAAAGGAACTATTGTGTCACAAGACGCGAATTGCTAGCTGTGGTAAAGTCGTTGCAGCATTTTAGCAAATATCTACTGGGGCGGAAATCTCACTTACGAACTGACCAAGCTGCACTAAAATTGCTATTACAGTTTAAAAATCCAGAAGGACAAGTTGCGAGGTGGATTGAACTACTGCAAGAATACGACTTTGAGATCGAACATCGCAGCGGAAAATCTCACGGCAACGCAGATGCATTGTCAAGAAGGTCTTGTCCTGAAGATTGCAACCATTGTACTAGGCAAGAGAGTAAGGAAGTGGTATCCGTGAGGATGCTCAGGACAGACCACCTCAGCAACGAGTGGAAGGACAGCTTACTACATGCACAGCAGGAAGATCCGGACATCAAGCCGATTCTGGAATAGATAAAGGCCAGTGCTTCCAAGCCCAATTGGAGCGACATCTCAGCAATGAGTTCGATCACTAAAAGCTATTGGGCCCAATGGGACAGCTTGCTGCTTTAGGATGGAGTTCTGTGCCGTAAATGGGAAAATGTTCGGGGAGACAGCTGTCATTTGCAAATGGTCGTCCCCAAAGCTAAAGTACCGGATGTTCTACAGCTGTACCATAATGATTGTTCAGGAGGCCATCTGGGAGTTAAACGAACTCTACTGAAGATCCGAGAACGGTTTTACTGGGTCCAATGTCGAAACGACGTCGAAAACTGGTGTCGCAAATGTACAAGTTGTGCGGCTGTAAAGGGACCTCAGACTCGTAGTAGAGGTGCGTTGAAGTTGTACAATGTTGGTGCACCATGGGAGAGAATAGCCATTGACGTGGCGCGGCCGTTTCCGGAGAGTGAAAGCGGTAACAAGTATTTCATGGTTGTGATCGATTACTTCACTAAGTGGCCAGAAGTCTTCGCCATTCCGAATCAAAAAGCTTCAACAGTTCCAGATAAACTAGTTCATGAAGTCTTCTGTCGTTTTGGAGTACGTTTAGAGATTCACAGCGATCAAGGAAGGAATTTTGAGTCTCACATATTCCAGGAAACTTGCCGAGTTATGGATACTCATAAAACAAGAACGACTTCTTATCACCCGCAGTCTGATAGAATGGTAGAACGATTTAATCAGACATTGGAGAGGTACCTAGCAAAAGTTGTAGACAATCGGCAACGAGATTGGGACAAGCACATACAACCGTTTTTGTTGTCATTTCGGAGCGCTGTTCACGAAAGTACAGCAGTGACACCAGCTTTCGCAAACTTTGGAAGAGAATTACGGCTGCCTGCAGACCTGATCACCGGGATACCACCTGATGCCCCACGCAGTATAACCGATTATGCAAATGACTTGCGGAACAAAATGAATGACATTTATGAGCACGTCAGACAATCGGACCAGCAAATGTCTGAAAAGATGAAAACCCGGTATGACCGCAAAATGAACAACAAAGGGTTCGACGAAGGTTCACTAGTGTGGTTGCACAATCCAGTCCGCAGCAAAGGGAAATCTCCTAAGCTTAAAGCTAAATGGGACGGCCCGTACCGGATTGTAACCAGGATCAACGATGTAACCTACCGGATACAGAAAGGCGCAAGAGGGACTCCTAAGATCGTCCATGTGGATCGCTTGGCGCGTTATTATGGGGCCGACAATGCTCGGGACGAGCATGTCTTAGGAGGGGGCAGTGTTGCGCGCCTAAGTTGACGTCATGTACCCGGCACTAGCGCCACCTAGTGTCGGGGACGAGAGCGAGGGGAGCTTTCCAGAAAATGACATCACTAAGCTTCTAGAAGCCCGACACTCGAACTTTCGACGCCTTGTCGATTGGCACGCGTATTTACTTGAATATTCTGGATTTTTCGGTGATAATGTGTATTTAAAGGCGCTGCAAGAGGCGATCGGGGAAGTATTGAATTCGGCGAGACAAGCGAAACTTCGGAGCGAAATAAAGTGAATCAGTGTGGTTAATTATTAGTGTTCTAAGTTTTAATTAGTATAAAGTGAATTAAAGAGTTAATTTTGGTAATTCAATCGGCAGTTTTTATTGTCACGAACCTCAAGCTCGTAACAATATTATAATACATACATACTAGAACGGGGGAGTGGGCGGAGCCCATGTAGCCACTAAAATGTCACTAACACGTCAATTCACGCGTATAAATGCCAACACGAGATGTGTTTTGACGTTACAATCGTTTTCAAATTTCGCATGAAAATTATTTAGAAAATGCCAAATTGCACCCTAATTACAAATAATATATTAAAATTTTATGATGATCTTGAACATTGATTAACGCTAAAATGTGTAAATTAAACTCAGTCTGTCACACAGCGAATCGAGTTTGGCGACGCCAATCCTCGTATAAAATAAAGTTGACAGCCATTCTATTGTGTATTATAGTATTCTATGATATCAAAAGAAAATTAATAAATAAAACGATTACGGTAGTATTTATTACAACACCTAAGCAGCCTCTTTAATAATATTGGAAACGTAAAAACAATATAATAATATTATTATTTATCCTACCTGTGTCAGGTTCTGTTTCGAAACGCGTACGCTCTTTAGAAACATGCCGCCATAATTTCAGCAAGCGCGACCACATCGTCTGAGTCTCACTACTCCGCTTCGGGAAAAGAGTTCCATTTACCTACGCCAAAAAAAACTTGTTATCATTTAAAAATAGATATATTCAGTTATATATTTTTGTGATTAATTTTTCAGTACCTGTGATAGTTCATAGTCTGTTACAAAAGGTTTGACCCGTAGCAGAGTCCGTAAAGATATTGGTGAGTACCAGGGAACCATCACGCCGAGTAGAAACATCATGTTCCAGCTCCAACACCAAGTTCTAAAGCGGATAGAAAAATAATATGTTACATTATCACTTTTAAGTCAAGTAAATTGTAAGTTATCTGATGTGATTTTTATGTTAAAGTTCGAAATTAGTTTTGGTGAATATGGTAGTATGGTGAAGGGCTTACTACTATAAATGTTCTTGTAACTATGTGAGCATTGTCTTTGTTGTCACTTGCCGTTGTTGGCTCAGAGTACTGGCCAAAAGTCGGAGACTGATGCTTGTGTATCGAGTTTAAGAGGAGTCAGGAGTGCATAAATATCTTACAAGAATGGCCTTGATATTATTTGCTTCTTTCCAAGGATGATCTAGATGCTACTTTAATTTTTCCATTTTATACTGTTAAGAGTTTTACCTCTATTTTTTTTCTCTCTTGCTGACAAATAACCTTGGTATTATTCTACTAAAAACATAAATATAAAAACGGAGCTAAATTTTGTACAAATAAAGTTAGTCGTTGTAGTCTTCGCACATAAAAGAATTGAAATCTGAACGGGCGTCATGCCACATAGTCGTTATTTAAATAACAAGATCTATATCAACAGTGGGAGATTTTTTCTGAACGGACCCACACTAGATTTCTACATGAATTTGATAGCGATCACCCTGTCGCGTTTATACGAGCACGGGTGTTACGTATAGTCACGCGTGTTGATCGTACACACATGCGCAGAGCGTAATTGCAATGCAGTCACATGTGCTGACTACACTCACATGAGCGCGAGGTGCAGCGCGCTGACGGTGCCTGTGCGCGGTGCTGAGAACAGTGCTGGCGGTGAACACACCAGCACACGAGGTACAGCATGCCAGTATTGCATTTCATAGTTCGCAAGGTGCAGCATACTGATAGTGAACTAATCAGTACGTGCGGAACATCGTATTAGCAGTGCGCGAGGTTGAGCAGGCGCCAGGCGGGCCAGCGCGTGCTGGTGGTGCGGGTGCGCTCGCAGTGCAGCAGGAACACAGGCTGGCAGTGCATCACATGTGCGCGAGGTTGAGCAGGCACCAGGCGGGCCACCCACCGCGTGCTGGTGGTGCGTGTGCGCTCGCGGTGCAGCATGAACATGGGCTGGCAGTGCATCACCTGTGCGCGAGGTTGAGCAGGCGCCAGGCGGGCCAGCGCGTGCTGGTGGTGCGGGTGCGCTCGCGGTGCAGCAGGAACACGGGCTGCGAGGGGTCGGAGCGCGGCGTCACGATGGAGGTGGCGCGCGAGCTCAGCACGGTGGGAATGCGCTCGCCGCGCCCGCGGAAGTGCCGCACCACCGTCCAGTTGCGCGCCAGCCAGATGCGCGTCGCCCACGTGAACTCGCGCGTCGGGCTCTTCGCGCCGCGGAGCTCCTGCGACGCGAAAAAACAAATTAAGTGATAAATTACATAATTTAACCCCTCAGTCCTCTTAAAATTCCAATGCGGCCGCATGCGACCGCTCGGGATTTGACGGACCGCACCCACAGCTCTTTAAACCACTAAAACTTATATTTAGACTACTTTTCTATGAAGAAGTTTGGCATTACAAAATCTATACAAAATTCTCTATATAAAAGTCAGGCTTTACTTCATTACAAAAAGACTTGTATTTTGATAACAAAAACAAAACATGCGAAGCAAAATATATATTACGCGAAGTTATTTAAGTAAAAAAGATAAATTATATTCACAGAAAAACTTTCATTACAATTTTATAATAAAACACTATACTGAAACGACCGCTTAGATATTGAAAAGTTAAATTAAAAAAAAAAAAACCCGAAACGAAGAGCTGATGATCAGATCGATTAAAACAAGGCGTTTTAATCGATCTGATCAATCAAGAAACGCCTTTCATACGCAAATAAAAAACAATCAAAATCGATTCATCCGTTCATGAGCTATGATGCCACAGACAGATATACACTACAAACATATAATACCCCTCTGTTTTTGTCGGATATTAAAAATGAGGGTGTCCGTGACTTTTTCCGTCACCTATTCCGTAATCAATTCAACAAGACTCAACAATGTTCTTTGAAATCTATCTCCTCCGTAACCCGTAAGCAAATTTACATATTTTTTTTCGGCAATATTGTAGCTCAAAGCAAACAAAGTTTGTGAACAATAAAAATTTGAATTTGATTTTTTTTTCTTTTACTATCTAATCAATACGCTAATTTACATCTGCGCAATGTCACACCATTTAAACGTATCTTTTATTGAAATAAACATAGTTATGACTTCAGACTTTTACTTCGCTACGTTTATGATGCTAGCAAAAGGTTTTACCCTTGCATCTGCTTCGGCTCTAGTATTTGACAGATTTCATGGCAGTTCCGTTTGCGCACCGCTCCCGAGCGGGCGTGCATACAGTTTGCACTCCGTCACCGTGCGGTAGTGCAACCTCTCGCCCGCGAGCCCCGTTCTCCCCGGATCACACCGGCCGAGCAGACGCTGTCTGTGAGCTCTTTGTTTTCGCACAGTTAAAACTGCCCCCCTCGCTTCGGCGCGGTGGTCTGAGCGCGCTGTGCCTTTATTGTTCTATTGTTTACCATTCTGTTACTGTTTTTCTTGTTATTCTCCCTCCCCCCGCTTCCCGGAGGGTTGCCCATATCTGCTTCGGGCACAAATATAAAAGGGGATTGCCCACTCTTCATAGACACTTCGGCCATGGGTGCCCACATATAAAAGTATATAGATATGATAATATGCAATTAAAAGAATGAAATGGTAAAGGAATTGCTTTAAAAAGTCGGGATTTTAAAGATATATAAGTTTTTATTTTCACAAATACAGTTTTTTTAACAACTACTTTTATCAATTTTATCGCGTTTTATTTCTTTAATTTTTAATTCCAGACGTTTCGGGTGCTTTCCAGCACCCATGGTCACGGCAGACTGAGGTGACTGACGTTCCAATGTCAGTGTTAACCTGGAATACCTTCAGATTTTTAATTTTTATTTATGGTCAGATCTACAGAATGAACTTACTGTGTCTTGAAATCTTACAGTGGTCTGCTTGGGTTTAGTTTTAATTTCATTAATTAAAGGGTCCCAAACAGGTGGTAGTACCAAGCCTCCTTCTCTATTTAAATAAGGATTTTTTTATTTCAATAGTCTCACATATCACCCTTGATAGGAATTGATGTTCCTTCGAGAGGATTTGTGGTCTATCAAATCCGATTTTTATCTATCTGGTTGGGACCGTCTAGGACATGATCACAAACTGCAAACATCCCTGAACTTTAATGCTTCACGTCAGGTATATGTTCTTTTACGCGGGTTTTAATTGTTCTTTTCGTTTTCCCTATATATGAGAGACCACATTCACAATCAAGGGTGTACACTCCTGCACCTTTTAGAAGAATATGACACTTGATTGATGGTAAGAACTCACTAATCTTCTTCAGAGGCTTGTAGAATGTTCTAATAGAAGCTCACTTCAAGATGAAGCCGATCTAGTCTGTGACACCCCTGACATATGGTAGTAATGCACACGCTTGACTGTGGCCGGCTTCACTCGGTCACTGTGACGTAGGCGCGGGACCCGAAGCTTGTTGACGTACAGGACCTGCTTGACGTGCTGAAGCTCGACAGCCGGATGTTTGCTGTCACAGATCCCTTGTGCTCTCTGTAACAAAGATTTGCTAACGGTAGTTAACTTGTGAAGGATGATGGTGAGATACATTGTTTTCTTCTTTAATTTTTCATTAATGTCATAACATGGGCACAGCATTATACTGTTCGACGGCCGACAATACAATTGCAATAATACTTTTTAAATGCACTTCTACCAGAACCATTGCCACTAATTAAAATATATATAAAATACACTTTACGACACTAAGTAAATATTAGGTAGGACTTCCTTCCAAAATGCTGCTCCTGTAGTTATTACAGAGTTCTATCCGGAGCAACCATTAAATCTTATATGCTCACCATAATAGGAGTGAGCTTACTTTAATTGGTATGTGCCACAAGCAATTAACATTAAGTCCTTAAAACAGGAAATTCCCTAACATTTTTAGTATACATTTATATTTCTAAAGTCTGCCTGCCCTAGCTCTATTTAGATTGCTTTCCCTAGCATACTCAGGCAAATCATTATTTGTCTCCATATTTTGGTGAACTATTTCAAGTATTTAAGCCGCATCATCCCTGTCCCTTATTTTTGTGTGGAATTTATTAATTAGAGCAGCAGCCACTTTATCATCAAATGTGTAGAAGCCCTGTTAAAGTAATTTGGGCGAAATATTTTAAATTAAGTTTTAAAATGCCATTCACCGCCTTTACTACCCATATCGACTCATAGTCACGGCTCTGGACATACATTACTCACTTCAGATTGCTATGAGGATGAACTAGATGATTCAGATGGTTCCCATTCTGCAGTTGAATGTGATGCTGTTCTATCAGTCCTTTGCCAGCAATTATGATAAACACAAGATGAAGATGACAACTGAAATAATGTTAAATACAAAAAATTAAGTAAAAAAAGAGATTTGTTTGATTTTAAACTCAAATATAAATAAATTATTTATCAAGTTAAATGTTACTGCACAAAGACAGACTTAATGAATTATTTAATAATTAAGGCCTGACAGACTACCAGCAGTCCAAAACAATGATAAATCAACAGTCTAATTTCTTGGTAGTTGATAAAAATGGTCAACCTCGTAAATAAGCTAGTATGTTTATCAGATATAGCTTATGCAGATGTGAAAAAATAAAACAAGTTCTTAAGTTGACATGCAATCAGTTTAAAAACATGTTTAACTATCAGATATGAGTACCACACTTAATAAATAGAAAAATGTTAAACACTTACCTCACGTGATGCAATTTGATTGGCAACCTCATTCTTTATGAGTTCCTCACGTGGAGAATCGAACCCAAACAATGTGTGTGATCTTATTCTCATAAGTGATTTGCCACAGCTGATACATACATGTTCATGACAAACTATTGGTGCATTTTTCGAGTGGCACACTATACGTACCTATCAATCGAAACTTGTACCTAATAAAAAAGCTATAATTATTATATTGATATTATTTAAGTAAACTTAGTTAAAAAGCATTTATCAGAGAAAGACATGACACTTCGTGACATGTACCAACTATTTAACTGCTGTGTTCGAACCAATTGTTGAGAGATTAACAATTCAATTTCCAACAAAACAAAAACTCGTAAACGAATTCGATATTGCCACTTAACTGTCATAAAATCTATGAAACAATATCGATTTATATTTGATTAATAATATCATAAAAAAGAATAGTCTTTGACGCGCTTTGAGTTCTGTACGCTTTTTAAAATATATTTTCCTTTATTTATTGAAATTCTATTTCAAATGTATTTTAAGAACAGTTAACTTGTGCAGTATTGTTTTGTTATGCTCTAGAGAATTCATGGTATATCAGCTAGAAATTAACTTCTTTAATTATCATAACACGATTCGATTTTAAATGTAATGTTAAGAACAGATAAGAATAACAGTTAAATTGTGCAGTAGTGTTTTGTTATACTCTAAAGAATTCATGGTAAATCAGTTAATTATTCGCTTGTTTAATTATCATAACTATAGATGAAAACTTCGTCAACGATTTCAACCGAGCCGATAACAACGGTTGTTTTTATTTTCAACGGTCGACAACCGCTTTTGATGGCTTGAAATGAATAAAAACAATAAGTTGTATGTTCAATAAGTTTTTTCTCTTTGGTAATGAATAAACCACAGAAACCCCTATAATGTATAATAGTTCTTTTTTTTTGAGATACAAGTAGCACATATTCAAGAACCACAAATACAACTTTGTCATTTATCCCACAAACACTGAAACACAAAATTATTTGTTGCTGGCGATAATGATAGTGATATTTTGACTCGATGTAAAATCTATGCTTGTTACTACAGAAATCTTCATGGCCCCGCGAGTCCGACTCGCACTGAGCCACTTTATTTTCAATTTTTTGTTTTTATTTTAATAAATAGTTTTTTCGTTAAAGCGGAGCTTTTTTGCTTTAGATTCATTACTTATATCTATAACAATCAATCTGAGTAGGTAAAGTGTGTAAGTACGATTCTTAAATTGTAAAAACAATAATTGGAGTTATTGGAGGTATTGTATTTAGTTTTATTTATTTAGAAAATATTAATCTCACAATTAATTATTATAATTGTATAATTTTATCACACAACTAACGCCCTTATTAGCAATGTAATGGTATAATAATAATTTTCAAAATCGGTCTAGTAATTTTCGAGATTAGCCAAAAAACATATACATTGAAAGTAGCGCCCTCTATAATAAAATGCATCCTATATTAGACATCTATAATTATACATAACAATCTAGTGGTGAAAAA